GTCCCTTGGAGGACAAAGAGGAACATCATCTGCCTTGATTGAACTGGCCCGCTGCAACAAGTTATCCACTTTCCGCGAAGCCGGCATGTTCCAAACAAGTCAACAGGTAAGTTTGGCCGAAAACAAAATAATGTGTATTTACATAATATTTTATGTGTACGAAACACAGTTTGGTACTTTTCGAGGGAAACCAAAAGGGAGAAAAACAAATCAGTTTGTTGAGGGGGTCTAACCGAAAGAAAGACACATGTTCCACCCGCGTTTCCCCGAACGCCGCATTTTTAACGCCGAAGCCTCAGGCGCTGGCTTTCTCCAAGTAGTTGGGGTCATTGGTCTTGTCCTCGCATCCGACGAGCTTAGCTGAAAAACGTGAGGCCCTTGGCCCCTCCAAAGATTTTTCGAGGGAAAACCAGAGAATCCTGGAGTGCGAGTGCTCATTCTACACAGGCCGAATTCACACATGTTCAGCTTGACTAAAATATGACCCCAAAAGCAACCTTGCTTCAGAATGACTCAAAAAGGCAATGTGTCCAGCCACACAATTTAGGGACAATTGCTGTTAGTGCCGGGTTGCGTGCGGTTCAATGCCATTTTTGGAACAACTCTCGTTTGCTAAGTGCACCATCTCAAAAAAAGCTGGGGGCAGCTACAGATGGTCCACTAATCCCTTGGCTAACAAAGGGACGAAACCAACTCTCGTTTGCTAAGTTAACTACACAGTGGGCCAGGTCCCGTTGCAACTCACATTGCAAACCCTCTGGAGCTGGAGACCCGCGCCGTGTCCAGGTGCCTCATGCTGATGACCTGGCCCAGTGCGCATGCAAACCAAGGTGTGTCTCTTGGAGTCATCTCGTCTTAGTGAATGCCCAGGCGGTCCATTTCCGTGTATAGAACTGGTAACTAAGATAAATATCAGTTAAACAACTAAGGGAAAATCATGTTGCCTGCTATAGCTGAGACTGAAAGCACCGGGTTTGACAAACCCAAGCTTCTTTTCTGGGACTTTGACATTCTGCGAAGCCTCGGCCACAAAAAGGGTCCCTTGCATTCTGCAAAGTGAGTGGCTTAGACTTAAGTCCAGCTGCCCGAGCTACCTGGACAGGTCGAAACATACATCTCATTCAACTCGAGTGCATGAGCTGTGAGCTGTGGGACACGTGGCCGCATCTAGATGGAACATGAGATCATCCCATTCGATTCGCATTTCCGATCGGTCCCCGAGCGGCCTTGTCGTGCAAGCTCGCCGGGAATTTCAGAGGCGCCTTCAGGGCCTGTCGAGAGCCGAGCCGAGAAACCACGGGCGTGCCTTGAGCTGGTACCTTTGTTGCGATAGGTAAGGGAAACCAAAAGGACCACCAAAACATAGGGTCGGGACCCGATTTTGACACATACCCCAATTAAACCAAGTAGTATTCTGGAAGACCATACTCATCAGGGATGCTTCCCTTTTTCATAAAGCAACGGTCCATCTGACAGGGTTCCTCTGACGAGTACGGCCCCTTGGAGCAATACGAAGCTAACTCCGAAAACCACTTCGGTTCACAAAGCTGCAAGATAGCAAAGGCCATGCTTCAGCTTCAAAGGTGTGACAGTTGAATGGCTGCCAGCAACTAGCATTTCAGCCAGTCAGACTGTGCACCCAATGATGTTGAGACAAACCACCCACCAACTGGTGTGAAGCGGAATTCGTCCATGTCCAATTTGGGTGCTCTTACATTCTTCCCCAGATAGCTGAAAGCTATAGGGGTTCACTTCTAACAAAGAGGGGAAAGTGATTTGCGAGATTGATGGCTGGGCGTGCAGTTGGGGTGCTGGTGCAGACGCTGCTTGGGTGTGCTGTTTGGGGAGCTGTGTGTGGTGCTGGTGACGGTGTGGGCGCGTTTGGCAAGATTGACGGAAGGGTGCTAGCGCATGCAGTTTGGGTGCCGGTGCGCTATTTTGGGGTGCTGCGTGGGGTGTTGTTTGAGGTGCTGGTAACGGTGCATTTTTGCGGGATAGACGGCCGGGTGCTAGGGGGCATGCAGGTGACGGTGCGGGCGCAGTTTTGCAAGATTGACCGTAGGGTGCTATGGGGCATGCAGCTTGGGGTCCTAGTGCAGCTGCTGTTTGGGATTCTGCTTGGGGCTGTTTGAGGTGCTGGTGCGGGCGCATTCTTTACGAGATTGACTGCCGGGAGTGCTGTTTGGGGGAGCTGGTGTCGGGCGCGAGCACGATTTTGCGAGACTGACGGCGGGGTGCGAGGGGGCATGCAGTGTGGGGGTTCTGGCGCAGGTGCTGTTTTGGGTTGCTGGCGTTCTTGCAAGATTGATGGCAGGGTGCTTGGGGTGCTGTTTAGAGACGCTGTTTGGGGTGCTGTTGGAGTGCGAGCGAGATTGACGGCCATGTGCTCCGGGGGTTGCTGTTTGCTGCGCTCTTCGTGGCAGGGGGTGCTGTTGGAGGTGCAGTTGTTTGCTATCTGGGATCCATGCTGGTGCCTTTGTTTTTGCCGGGGGGGCGGGGGTCCCCACTTCTTGAAACACACCAATGTTGACTTTTTACACTTAGGGGTGATTCATTGCCCCCAAAAAGAGAACCCCTGGGTTTCAGTCGTGCTTGCGGTAGCCGAACAGTGGAACCCTGATCAGGGGTTTCCGGAACTGCCTCGCGACGTGCCGTGTATGCCATCGATTCTTCTCAGTTTTGGCTTGCAATGCAAGCCCAACCCCAGCCCCAAACCGCAAGCTCAAGCCGCCTCTATCTTTGATCAAGGCGTTTCTGCCGCCACGTGATTCCCACCCCGGCCTTGAGCGCAGCGGCTCTGTCGCGAAAGCTCACATAGGCCGTGCCCTGAGCGAGCCACGACCGCGGCTTTGGAGCCCTTCCAGGTTTTTGAGGCGCTTCAAACCGCTGCTTAGAGGGGGAACATTGAGGAAGTCTTCTAAAAATGGATGCAGTATTTATTGCCCTAGAAAGCATGTAGCCTCCCGTGAGGGCGATGTGGAGTGCCTGCACGATTTGTTGGACCCTAGTACAGGTGGGCCCGGTACAGCTTTACCGTCTGTGGCAGGTGCAGTGACTGTCGAGGCTGCCAGTTTCCATATTGAGTAACCAAAGGAGCAAACCATGTGGGTGGCTCTCTTTTTGAGGGGCTGTTCTAAAGGAACACCAAAGGAACGCCACCATTTTTTGGGGGTGAAACACAAGACACACCCATGCAAAACCTGCAGGAATCAGGCGGCGACCTGGAAACACTGGAAAAGTAGCCCGTCCTTCACTGGGCGTTAGGGTTTGGGACGCCTTCCAGCTCGGCTCGCCATCTTCCCTGCTGCGAATCAACAACCTCAAGTGGGGGGGTCCGTGATTATATGTGTTTACTCGGGAGATTCCTAAACAAACAGAGGGAACTATTTGGGGGTTCCGTGTTGATCTAGAACTCCTTTTTGCCTGGGCTCCAGACCTCACATTGGTAAGGATCCAGAGGGTGCGGCTCGGCACGGCAGTGCTGTACCTGAAGAATTATCAGGATGAGTTCCGTTGAAGAAATCGTGATCAGAGCGCTAGTGTTGATTTGGTTCTTTCCCCTTGCTTGCCCAATAAGAAGCCACCCAGGTGCTCCAAGAAGGCAGCTGAAACACCCAATGCCCCATAAAAGGCAATGACAATGAGACTATGCAATGCAACCTGTGAAGCGACCGTCTTGTGGCGATCCATTTTACAGCCATTGGGGCGCCTACCCCGGAAAAAGGTTTGCTTTCTTGTGGTTTCGAACCAGCCAAAAGTGGGTTCCCCAAAAAGCACACCCAGTGCTTAAGGGCCAGTGACAAAGGAACGTCAGCCAGGGTTTGGTTGCAAAATTGGTGAGCGATCACCGTTGACTGCACCCTAAAACATGAGAAACCAAACACGTTTCAACAAGGGCCAAGGGCTTCTTGAACCATTTCGGTGACACTCCGATAGGCTTTTAGCGGGAGATGTGTGTCCAAGTCAGCCGACAAACTGGCCACATGACCAGTCTGAACACTTAAAAGCTCTACGGGGTTGTTGAGCACAGTCCAAGGTTTTGCAGGCTTGACAAGTCTAACAGGATTAACGACAAAGCCAATTGATTCCAAAAGACCTCTCCGCGATTTGCTCACACCAAAGGCCGAATCGCCATGTCGAACATACAGCTTTTACTGCTGAAGCAACGACTGTTTAATTTGTGGTGAACCGAGAACGATACAAACTCCACGGCAAACAACATGCCGCAAGAAAGCACTACCCGGCAACCTTGCCAGGAAAGCTTCCTAGCAGAGCTGCCGAACCAAAGGTTCTGAGAAACATGCCTTGCAGGGCGAGCCTCAATGTTCTTCCTAATTGCGCTTCGGTTGGTTTCCTGACAGCTTCCCCTTATGCAGTCTACAGGGAAGGCTCATGACTATGCAACACGCCCATCATGCCCAGAGGACCTGGTCTTCTTTTGGTAAAGCTTCTTGCGAATTTGACACAACCGATCCAAGGAATACCCAAAAGGTTGAAAGCCCGCTCGATTTGGGGACAACTAAGCCATACTGCGCCCCCGCTCGACGTCCGCGCTCGAATTTCAAGCATCCTTTTTCGAAATGAGCTGTGCGGACTTCCCGGCGCCTGCCAAGGATTTGCCGGTGACTCTCGCGACCCTATTGTGGAGACCATTCCTCCAGGGTTCTGTCCACCAACCGGCTTGTGGAAGGGGGGTTGATGGCATGCGCCTCGCGCATTTGAAGCAATTCAAAAGCTGGAAATACATTGGTTGGGATATCATCTATTTTGGGGGTTCCTCTAACGCAAGACTAGTCAGCGACATTGCTACGTTTGCCGCAGAGCAGCCGAATCGGATTCTCAGATGTTGTATCCATGCCCACTGGGTTCGAACACCCGAAGCCTAATACGTGGGACAGATGCCCATTCCAGTTTAACCAAAGGAAAATATCATGCAACATCGAGAGCCAAACGAACCGAAGGGTTAAGTACTGTAGCGGCTTCCAAAGTCGCACCCAGCCTCAGCGCTTCTCACACCAATCAATGGGCCTCAACATGGCAGCAAAGGAGCATATTGCGTTGAGCCCAAAAAATGGGAACCTACAAATCCTGTGGATGGACGAAATCCTGCATCACCTGAGAAACCCTGGAATGACGATTTTCCCTGTACATACCCACAGACAATTGAATCCCATAGTTTCCAAGTTGTGCAGGATTTTGTCCATCCACAGCAGGGGGATCCTGTTGGGCTTCTTTGGTTCACCCAACAAAGGTCTCCCTCTTTTGAGATCCTTTCTGCCCATGGCCCGAACAAGTGTGCAGCGCATTCTTGTTCCAAGGCTTCGAGGAACCTAACAAATCCAACCTAGAGCATCTTGCAAATCGAACCATGGCAACATGTCACACCGATCTGTAAGAGGCATGGTTGGAACTTGGAACATCTAACATGATGGAACGGGCGGTCTGTTGGCCGAATCAAGGCTTTGGCATAGCGTATCTACCCTTCAATTCAAGTTTTGCCCCACCCGCCTGCACCCCAGCTCTAGTAACTCCCCTACCAGCCCCCTACGACCCTACCACCCCCCTACCACCGCCCATCCACCCCCTACCACCGCCCATCCACCCCGCATCCACCCCGCATCCACCATGTTTGCCGTATACAAAGTCACAGCTCGCAAATCTCCCAGCGCCTGAAGCAGCAGCTGCAGCGGGAGCCAGCTCGCACCAGCCTGGGATGGTTTCTCCGGGTCTTCCATGGGTTTTTTGTTGGAGCCTCGGAAGCGCCCGTCCAGGAAAAACACCACAAAAAGGAAACGCGCGTTTTGGGTTACCCAACTTTGACCGTTTCCAGGACTGGGGGAGATTGCGCCAGTAAATGCCTGGAACCCAACTGAAAGCAGTCCCACCTTAACTGACCGGACAAGGACGCCTTATTCCCAAGAAACAGCTTGTTGGAACCTCGCGAGGGATAGCTTGAACACCGCGCCCTGCAAAGCACCACGGCGCTCGTGCTTCAACTCTCAAAATTACCATCCTAAATGAATTTAAAAGAGAAACCATCCCCAAGGTACCTGTTCCAATCCCAGCTGCCCTTAGAGTAGGCAACCAGCCATTCTCCTTTTGGGAGCCCCTGTGCTTACCTTCATGTAGGCAAATGGATCCACTGAGCCACCGGCGGCCAATCATTTTAGCAATGGTGTAAAACCCCGAATCGGGTTTTAACAGAACCAACAAATAACCTGTATTAATTCAGACAACATCAAAAAGGTCATGGGGGTCCAAGAGCAAGGGCTTTCCCACCCTCTAAGATTTTACCTGCACTTAGACTTCTTCTTGTTTAACGGGGAGATCCTTGATCCATAGTGAGAAAGCCACTACAAGAACTTTCAGATTAACTCAAGAAATCCGGCCGGGGGTCGTTTAGAGAACTCCAGGTGCTCACTTTCTTGAACCCGTTTTGAAATGTTGGGGTTGGCGTCAAGATGGAAGACTGAACAACAACAAAGAAATCCATTTTGGGGGTCCACCCGTTTTCCAATGTTGTCCAGTCTCTGAGGCCCTGTCATCTTGGCGCAGGCTCTCTTTGGCCATAGCACCTGGTAGGGACATCCCACTTTCAGCAAGGAAAACATGTTTGCGTTCTCCAAGTTTTGTTGGATCTTCCCCACGCCGAAAAAACTGGCGCAAATGAAAATCACCCCTCCTCCATTTTTTTGGACAATTAGTTCGGCCATGCTTGGAGCCGCTTCACAATTTGGTCGAACAACAAACAGACATCAAGGTTTCTGCCGCTAGGGTGTGTTGTTTGATGGCTCCCTTGCTAGCGCAGGTTCAAACGGTTCAGAGGGGGAACCAACAAGGACACCTGAAATCCATTTTGGCCCACCCGGTCACCGGCTACCCCCACTTCCATATATGGGCTGGGTCTGCTTTGTCCACTCAAAGAAAAACAAGAAACACCTGCCTTGGGCTTGGGCCCCTCCAGGTCTGCCAAAGACTTGACCTTCAGTCGCATGGCCAACCACCGTGGATGGGCAAAATCGGTCAGTGTGGTTGCCTTCAACCCCTGAAAAGAGTGGTTTTGAAGGACAAATACAAAGGGAACCCTTGTGGGCTTCCCTGTATTTGAGACAAATGCATAAAACCACCTTCCAACTGGCGCAGGATTTGGTTCATCCACGGCCGCGTCTCCTCCGCCCAATGCCCAAAACTCCGAGGCCGAACAACAAATTAACCTCATGAAAGCAACCCAAATGAAAAGACTGCCTTAGCTAAACACCCACACACACACACTGGGAAAGTCGTTGAGCCCCAGTTAGAAGGGCTCCCCCATTTTTTGACCGCCAATCCCACGGGCCCATCTTCCAGTGACATCTCAAAGTCGCCCAAAGGGGAGCTGAAAGGGAACAGAGAAGCAAATTTGGGTATGCCTCTTGGGGGGGGGGGGGGCCCCAACCAATTGGTTTCCATGGCTTCCCTTTAAACCCACCCTCAAGAGCGAACCCGCAAAAAAGACGATCCCCCTATTGGAATTTACGGCCTGAGAATGTCACGGTGGCACTTGCCCTGCACCGCAAATGACAGCAATACTGGGCTGCTCCATAATCCCTATAACAGTCCAGACCGCAAAGTACACAACAAGAAAGGAACATTAGGAAGCAGACCCAAACAGCACCGTCTTTTTCCCATTGGTGTGTAGAAGTAGAGGAGACAGCTGTGGGTCGCCCCAAAAGCAAGATTGCGCCACACCGTGCTGAAATTAAAGGGGCATGCATTTAATTAGGGACCCTTTGCTGGACATCAACATTCGGTGGGTCCCGGTTCATGTCCAACCACTTTTGAGGTTCCTCTTAAGATTCAAACCAAGTACTGTATGATCTGGCTGTCCTCAGATCCCCCGCTAAAATTGTAACTTTTAGTGGGTCAAATGGAAAGCCGCACTAAATGCTAAAAAGCTAAAAAGCGAAGGAACCGGATGACTGGGAGCCACTAAGTAGTATGTAACTATAGGTGTCCTTTTGGATAAATAGATGGGTTCCCCTGGTAAATTGAATAAAACCCATCGAAACCAGCGCCTTCTATTTTTAACCACACTAACCTAAAAAGAGCACCTATGTGTATAATATTTACCCGTGGCCTCCAGTTCAGGCCGTGACAATGACCCGTACAGTGGGCTTCTCCGTCCTCGGCTCCTGGCCGGTGCCGAACTCGGCTGCAGGTCGTGTGGGAAAAAGTATCCCTGGCCTTCCAAACGAGGTTGGCGCCAACAGCAGGCTTTCCAAACTTTACCCACTCGGCAACTTGTTGGTGGCTTGGACTGGAAAGGTGTGCGTTTGGGTTTGGGTTTGGACTTTAGTCACCTTTGGTACCACTAAGAATGCTCCAAACCCAAAATGTGACTCAAGTCCAGGAACTCCGGAAGTGAGCTGGTAAGAGTGGGGTTCCGTGAAAAGTTGCACCTCGGAACTCACCTTCCGTCAGCGCTCACGTCTGAAGGGGACACCAGCCAGGGCGATGCGTCGGGAGCCTTTGGGTTGGGCAAGTTCCACATACCTGAATTCTGATGGACCAAGATATGGGTCCTTTCGCCGCGTAATCCCTGGTGGAACAAAGCCATAGAAACGCGTAAGGCACCATCTACCATCCACACCCCAAACACCGTCCTTCTAGGTGGGTAGATGTTGCCACTTTGAGGTTAAGAGGGATGGAATCGGCCACCAAGGCGGTTTTTGGATGGGAGCAGGGCCGAATACGCCCGAGCTGATGGATACTGGGCTAGACCACCAACCAACTTTGGTGCCGGATTTCGTTCATTCACGGAAAAGCCAAAACAACACCCGTACCGTCCCAGCCAGAAATAGGTGCGGATATCTACCAAAACAAAAAAGACACCTATGAGACCGACCACCACTAGGTCCTCCAGCAGAGAGGTTAGAATAAGGGTACCCTTTTTTCTGTAGTTGTTTTTTTGTAGGGGAACCCTCCCCCAAAAAAAAGGGTAAAAGTGCACCACTGGGGAACCTAGACCATGAAGGGCCCCGACTTTTGAGACACTATTGTCCTGACGCCGGGGCTCCACGACCACCACACCTGGCGCGGGCTTTTCCGTCACCATGTGCAAAGCCAGGGTAGTTTTTTTCTCCTGGAATGAAAGAAACTCAGGGCTACTCCAAGGAACAGCTGGGTTTCACTCTCTGGCAAAGCGAGCTGGCAATCAGGGGATGTGCCTTGATCCCCACCTTCTTCCTCGTCGGAGCTCACCAGCAGGCCCTGCCGCTTGGCAAGAAAAACCACCGCACGGGGTATTGTGAGGTCAAAGGACTTGAATCTTCCCCTACAGTCTGAAAATGACCATGGGTCAAAATCCCGTACCCCCAGTGAACATCCCAATCCCAACTAAAATAGACTAAAATGGGTGGTGCACCTACCCCAAAATGGTACCATTGGTTTTGACCCACAGCCAAATAAGTTGGGCACCACATTTCACACCCGTGCCTTTCGCACCCCGTGCCTTCCCCCCCGCCCGCCTTTGGCTGCGCACCTCCGCTCACTCATGGACTTGGGGGCCACACAATTCGTCCTGACACCCCTAAAGCAAATCGGGGGCAGTGCGGGGACTTTCCGCTAGCCCCAACCTTCAGGAGCTTTAGGGTAAGCAACCTCCACTTTTCCGCAGTGAGTGCTTGAAAACCATTGTCCAAGTTCTTGTCGGGCATTGCTTGGAACCGACCGAGTTGCTGCTCGTCCGCACATTTCCCAGCTCCTTCTCAAAAAAGGATGCCTCGAATGCTTGTTGCTCAAAATAGTGGCCCTCTAAACTTGGTGTCCCTTGAATTTAATTACCAAACCAAAAGGGAGCTTTGCCACATGGCTGTGGGTCAAAACCCTGTACCCCTGGTGAACATCAAACAAGCTGGCAAATGGATGTTCATCCACCCCAAAATGGGATCGCCATAGGTTGTGCCCCCTCGCCACATGTCTTCCCAAAACGGTTTGTCTTGGATGCTCTTGGCTAAGAAGCCCTGGGGCCCCTGCTCAAGCTCCCATGTCCGGCATGCCCCGAGTTGGACTCCGGCGGCGTGCGCACCACAAAGTCTTCGGCGGCTCCTGGGCAAAACGTTGTTCGTGGCTGAAGCTTTCGGCGCGTCAGTTTTGAGGGAACCTCCCCAAAATTCTAGGGGTTGATTCCTTTCCCATTCTTTTCAACCATCCTTCTTTCAAAAACCAGCGGTTTCGCTGGGTTTTGATGGTTTCCTGAAAAGAAGGATCCCTGGAAAGAATGGGGAAGGTGGCCCTAGAAGACTGGTGGTTTTCCTGTTGGCTTCCCTTTTAATGCCACAAAAAATAGGCGTCCTGAAAAACAGGCTTCCATGTTGGTTCTGGGTTGCGCACGAGAAAAAGGTGGAGTCAGCTTCCCACTTTTTGGTGGTGTGGATTGGTGGTGTGGACGTCGGGAGGGGGGGATTGCTTCCTCCACAAGAACCAGGGCTTCAATCCTCAAACACATCCAAACCACCAAGGAGGTTACCTGACTTGTAGGTGTCACGGAAAGGGGGCGATTCGGTCACACCAAGACCAGCCATGAGTTGTTGCCAACTTGGGATGGATAAAATCCGATTTGAATGCTGGATTCTAAACCACCTACCACCTGGTGCAAGCGGACTTTGCCCATCCGCAGTGAGTTGTCTATTTGTCCCCTCAAACACATGTAGCCCCAGGAAGGAAACAAGTTACGAGTAAGATGGAAACCAAAATCCCAACAACCCCCAACAAGTTGCAATCGAAACCTGGTAGATTCCTATCCCGAACGATTTAACACAGAAGTTTTCTGCACAATCCATTCTCTTTGAACTCAACCCCAAAACGGGGTCCACGCAACTTTCAGCGCTTCTCTCCGAACTGCCAGCCTTCAGCTGTCTTTTGCGCCGCCCGGAATCGTCGACCTGCAGCATGCTGTGGGCTTAGAGGGGTTCCCGATACTCGCCTCATGGTTAAAGCCGCAAAGGAAAATATAGGGAACCCCGGCTTAGGTGGCCGTCTCAAAAAGAGCTGAATTCGAAGCGTCCATGTTCGCACATCTGACGTGAATGCTCAACCTTACGGAGAAACTGGCTCAAAGTCAAAAAATGCAACTGCTGCACCAATGCACATGGGAAGATCAGTGAGACTCCCTGGATGTTGATGTACTCTTTTTCTTGCGTCCCCGTGTTCCTCCCAAGCTGACCACACTCTGACATCTTGACCGAGCCAGGCCTGCAGCATCTGTCTTTGTCTCTGCCAAGGCCGCAGCCACCTGAACCATGCAAGACTGACGCATAGACAGCAAGCTTTGTCCTGTATCCTGATGCTGATTGACACACAATACCAAAAGGAACAAAAAGCAACCCACCAACCAACCAACCAACCAACCAACCGACCGACCGACCGACCGACCGACCGACCGACCGACCGACCAACCAATCGCCTGCCCGTCCGCCCTATTGCCCGCCCGGCCTCCCACCGACCAAGCACCACAACAAAACAAAACAAAACAAAACAAAACAAAACAAAACAATACAAAACAATACAAAACAATACAAACAACAATACCAAAAAAACAAGCATTGCAAATTCAAGCAAAGCCAAGCCAAACAAACAAACGAGCAAACAAGCAAACAAAGAAGCACACACACAAGCACGCAAGCAAACAAGCAAGCAACAAAAACAAACAAGCAAGCAAGCAAGCAAGCAAACAAGCAAGCAAGCAAGCAAGCAAGCAAGCAAGCAAGCAAGCAAGCAAAGCAATCAAACATACCAAACAAACACACACAAGCAAACAAACCAAACCGAATGCCCAAACAAACCAACCAAACAAACCAACACACCCAACCCAAATTCGGTTGCCCTCGTTCCATGCATATTTTTATTGCACTCATGCAGGAGGTGCGGCCGCCCTCCCCCCCCAGCTCCGGCAGCCACATGTGCATTTGGGATGCGTTGGATAAATCGGCTTTTGAGGAAGGTTCTTTGGGCTTTCTCATAAGACTAAACCATGTCTGGGCATGGGACCACAAAAGATGGCTTGCTTTTTGGCTTCCCTTTAAACCAGCCCGACGAAAAAGATACTCAAAAGCACACGCACATAAACACACCAATTGGAGCCAGGACTGTCAACGTGCTCACTGGGTGCCGCACCCGCACGGATGGCGCGTCGGACAAGGGCTCTGGCTCCTGCGCAAAGCAAACCATCCCAGGTGTTTCGCCCGGTGGAACGAACCCAAGCCAATGCCATCTATTTCTAACCAAACGAACCCAAACTTGGAGGATCCCAGGCAAGCCGCTAGGAAACCAAGAATTCTCCTTTGGGGGTTCTCTATTAGGTGGGAAACCCCTGGGTTACCTGCCTTTACTAGGTGGGCAACCCCTTGGTACCAGGTGAATGGAATCACTGGCAAACATCCAGCATCGCCAGTGCCATGGTCAGGTTTTGAGGCACCCAAACCCTCGGCGTCCGGTTTTTGCGGGTCTTCTGGCGGCCCCGGAACGAGTCCGGATTGATTTGGGCGCGCAGTCCTCGCTCATTTTGCAAGCCTGGCAAGTGAGTCACGAATCAAAACAACGCGAAGCCGCTTGCTTGTTCAGGCCCTTCTTTTGGGTGTCAAAAGGGTTTTCAAAGGGAACCCCCGCAATTTGGTTGTTTTTCTTGGGAAAACCGACGTCTGCCAGTCTGGAAAGGCTCAGATTGAGTAGTGCATTGAATCGGGCATTGTCCACGTTAAAAGCTTCAAAAAACCGAATCGAAAGGCCAAGTTTGATACCGTGACACGTGCATTGTCCCAAGTCGAAGCTAAACTAATCAGCCATTTACCTGTAGCTCACCAAGGCGATGTGCTCCTATATATTTCACAGGCCCGGGATCCATTAGGCAAGCTCCTTCAGGCTTCCCGCTAGGGTGGGCCCAATCAGGTCTAGTTGTTTCATCTCATGTTGCAAACGGAAATCAACCCTTTTGAGGACAGCAAAAAGCTTACTTATGATCCACTCCGGCATGTTTGTTTTTTTGTCGCAACCATCCACAGGGTCTCTTAAATGATTCAAATTTGAGCCATACAAACACATCACAATCCTTCCGGAACCCTGATCCACGTAGCCAATAGATGCCAGCATTTGGCCCAAAAAAGTGTCCGTTTACAGTGCACACAACTCCAAGTTGTGTTGCTTTGGATTGAGGGGGGCGTTTCAGCCATTGGCTATGGTGTTTCCCTTCAGAACCAACCAAATGGGGGTATTGAGAACCACGTGCCCACAATAGGGCTTCTCTCAAAATAGAGCAACCCCCCAAAAATAAATATGCTTCTTCTTGGCTTTCCCTTCAAATCAGCCCGTTTTTTCAAACAGGTTCCCCGTCGCCTCAACAAAAAAACCACCAAGCCCATCTCCGATTTGTCACGTCGACTCGTCGAATCTGCCTCCAGCGCCGCTTTGGCTCTTTCGGCCCGGGCCAGTAGGGCGTCTAGGTCGAGCCTGGCGCGTGACTTCCCCTCGGCCCTTGGGTAGGAAGGATCAAATTCACTAAGGCTGGGGCTCTGCACAAAACCTGAGGGTCTGCATTGGAGGGGTCCTGAGCATTTCTGGGGGGGGGGGAGACCAGAAAACAGCTTGGTTTCTTTGAAGCCGCATCCTGAAATCCTCCATGAAACCATTCTCTTTCCTCTTTTTTTTGCAGGTCTTTCCCTCCCATGGGGCTCGTTTTGGTGCCGCGTCCGGATGAAAACGAGCCCCCGATCCGAGCCTGCAGCAGTACACCTCGTCATCCTTGACATAGCCCACCTGACAATGCTCCTTGACTTTGAGGCGCGGACGGCTTCAGCCAAGCCCCCACGCCTCTCTGCTTTGGTAGACCTGCCAGGTTGCTTTGCCAGCAGGGATCTCCACACATCTTACAAGGGCTTGTCTTTTCTGGAGTTGGTACCCCTTCTTTGGTAGGTTTTAAGGGCAACCACAAAGGACAATTGAAGTCATTCTTGGGGGGTCAAATCCTAAACACAAAGGCTCATCAATCCGTTTCTAACACGCATCAGGTTCCAATCCACTTGCTCGATGCTGACTCTCCCGAATAAAGCTTTGCTTCAAGAACGAGTTTCTTCAAATCGGGGTTCATCCAGTTCAGCGCATTGTACGTAGCCAACTAAGTCACAATCAAAACCCAGATGAAAAATGGTCGAGCCAGAAGCATGCTTGAAGAATTGAAAAGGCGGATCGATAATTAAAACCCGGAGTAAAACCCGGCATTGAAAACGTCGATTGCCAGAGCATGCTTCAAGAATTCAAAAAGGCGGGGCCCCCGCCTTTTCTCCCTTTTCTGGCAAGAAAAAATGTCCCTTATCCTCCAAGCACCCGAATCGGTTTTGTCGGACGTGACTCACTTCCAGGCCTTCCAAATCAGGTAGCCTCGCGGCAGATCCGCGGGGGAATCCACTCCGCGGTCCTGGCGAAGGGTAGCCACAGGCATTATTTTACCATAATCAAAGTCACCCCCTAATTGGTGGGTCAAAGGGAAATAACCGATTCCATTTTCTGACTTTGATAACTGCCAGAAACCGCCACAATCATGACCCCAGTGGTTTCCCTTATAGTCCACTGAAAGCACTGGGTCAAACACTTGAAAACCAAGATAAGTCAAGATGAGCTAATGGTGTGTGTGTGCAAAAAGATAGGCTGCTTTTATTGTGCTTGCATCCTGGGATGACAAACACCTTGTCTGTCCGAAAATTCTTCCCAGTGGGGCAAAGTCAAAGACGGCACCCGATGCACGCCTCGACTCTGGCATAAGCAAAGCTCTGCTGGTCCTCGAGTGCGGGCTGGGCTCGTTTTGATCAGTGGCTCGTGTTTTCGGGTCCAACCTCGGCCCAACCCCATGATACGCCAAAGCTCAATGCCTGAGTAGATGGCCCACAAAAAGGTCCGAAACTTGTTCGATCTCACTAAAGTCCAGGAACTCAGGGAGTGAGAAAGGACATACGTTCAGACTCTGTTTCAGATTTAGTCAACGTCCATTTCCCTTACATTCCGCAACCTTGATTTTAATCTCCTCCCAATTAATGAATGACCCCCATTAATAATAAATGCGAATCCGGGGCCCGAGACCAGATTTCCACTCCGCACAATTGATTTTTAATTGCGCCAATACTAAACCAATACTAAAGTCTTGGAATCCTTATTAGGGGGCACTTTTAACAAGCTTCCAGCCCCACTTTTAAGCTGCGACTGTCTCTCCCCCATACATGCTGGCTAACCTGCCTGGCTGCCAACAAACAACCAGTAAACTGAAAAACAAATAGAATGATACATGAAATTTCCTTATTAAACCGCTTACTCGCGGACCTTACAATTCAATCCATTTCCTCCAAATCCTATGCGAACCCTCACATTGTTGGAAAAGCAAACCCAACCCCGAAAACCCCAATTAAAAAAAATCTATTTTTGGGAGGATTTATTTATAATAGGGGGGGGGGGGGCGTATTTATTAATAGGGGGAAGAGATTAGCCCAACGAATCCAACGGGCTCTCAAATGTTTGCCCTGAGGTCCCAATACTTCCAATGACCCCTCCAACGCAGGGCCGAATTCAGCTTACCATTCATTGATGGTTTGGATTGGTGGGTTTGGAAGTCTTCCGGAGGGGTTCCCATGTACCCTCTACAAAAACCAGGGGTTCAAAACGAATCCAACCACCAAGGGCTATCTGACCAATGATGCTTGAGAAACAAAAGCCCATGCCGCCTCACGTCGAGTGCTCTGAGCGCTCAGCCTGGATCTTGTCAGTGATCCTCCAGGATGACCTAAGAAAACCAACGAACAGGGCTGGGCTTCCTCCAATCGGTGGTTTCGATTGGTGGTTTGGACTTGAACCCCTGGTCCTTGTAGAGGGTGAGGGGAAATCAATCCCAACCACCACTGGGAGGGAAGCTGAATACTCACCCCTCCCTTTTCAGGGAAACCCAAACATTGTGGTGTTCCTCTTGTACCAGCCACCCATGTGGCAGGCACCCTACAGAATCCGAGGAGCGGGTTGGCCTTCCGCTCCCTTGCCTCCGTTAACCCCTTTTCATGGTGACCAAAGAAAAAACTTGGTTGCTTTCTGCTCCCCTGCTAAAAGTTCAACTTTTGGTGGTTTCATGGAAACCCCCTTAGTTGGCGAAAACTTCAAGGAAACATGGCGAATCCTTCCAACTTTCCCCCAAAAGAAACTCCGCCAGTTGATTTGAACAGGTGCCATTTTTTGCCTGCATTGGTGGTCTAGGTTTGTCCCTAAAACATGGGTTTGTCTCAAAGGGGTGGTGTCCCTTTGGTTTCTCTTAATACCAAACCCAAAAAGGACACACTCCAAAGACACATCCACACTAGGCGAATTCAGGTTGTGACCAGCGGTACAACAGGCAGGGGAATAGCCTGAACTTCTACACTCAACAAGTGATCGAATCGACAATTTCCACCACCCAAACCGAAGCTACCCCAAGCGGGAATTGGATAATTATCCATTTGCAAGGGAAAAGAGCACTTACCACAGTTTCCCCAAGAGGAATACTTGTATGCCCCCCACATATACCCCTGACATCCCCTTACCAAGCCAGGCAGCTTAAATGAGCCATGTCCTAAACGTGGCATGATTTGCTATGTCATATCATGATCATGTTGCTTACGCCACTAGCTTACTCCACCTTACGCGCGTGGAGTTTTTCCCTTACGCACCACATGCGGAGGTTTTGCTTGCGCCGCCAGCTTGCGCAACCTTACGCGTGTGGAGGTTTGGCTTACGCACAGGTCGATATGACACGACTCTGACTAAACGTGTACACGGAGGTGTTGGACGCAGCTCAAATTCAGTGGGGGAGTCTTATTGCCGCCTTTAAACCCCCCAAAACCCCCCTAAACCCTAACCCCTAAACCCCCCCCCTCAAAAAGGAATCCTCCACTTCGGGCGGGTCCATCGTTTTTCCACCGGTGGCAAAAAGACCCCCCCGAAATGGAGTGTGTGGTTGCGCCACGTCGACCTTGGGGAAGCGGCTCGTGTTGCAGCCATGGACGTCTCTACAGCTAGCACTAAACCGCCAACTACCCATTGACCAAAATGATTCTAGATAAAGGTTCATAAGGGTATGTGTCAAAATAGGGTATCCCCCCAACAAAAAAAATATCACCAAGGAAGAAATGACATAACATAAACAAGGCGGTCTTCCTTTTGGGTGTCTTTTGGGTGCCTTTAAACCAACTTGAAGATTGTACCCTCAAAACAACACAGCAACAGCATACATCAATTCTGATCCCGAAGCCAAATAACTCAGTAGAAGAGTTCTATGGCCCAAATTGGCGTGGGCTTCCCATCTCAGCTGAGCCGCTTGGTGGCTGAGAAGAGCAAGAACTTGTGGCCCTTGTCGTTCGCGCTGATCTTCCTCAAAGCTCGCGGCTCGCTTGAGAAGCCCTGACCTTTTGACTTCTGGAGGAAAGTTCTCTGGATGGACGAAATCCACTGATTTTACAGGGGAATCCACCATTTGGGGGTTTCTTAGGTGGTGCAGGATTTTGTCTGAATCAGCCAATGAGAAACACATATAAGGTGGCCTTGCAGGGATTCACCATGGTGGATGAATAGGGTGTTCCCAGAAAAGTGAGATATCCTCTGTGAAGTGGGACCCGGCAGGGGTATTTGTCCTACTGCAGAAAACCATGCAAAATAATGTCTCAAACGCACGAGATGTACCAGGTGTGCACAACGTTCAGGGGCAATTTAATCCAACACATCAAGTAAGAACACAAAACACATGATTCATATACATGAATATGTATGGTCCACGCGCCCCAAGATGGCATCCTATGTATTATACCCAGCAGGCCAAAAAACAGGTCAGCCAGAAAAGCAGCAATGCTGTGTCCCTTTCACAGAGAAAAGGACTGCACCTGGTTTTTTCCAACGTTGTTTGCCAATTCTGTCTGGATTCTGAGAGCCGGGCTGGTAGCACAAAGCGCCATGAAACTTTCCAGCACGTTGGAGGTACACGCCTCACATGGCATTGTTGCACTTGGTTCTCCTCGCAGGAACCCGGGCAAATGCGTCTTTTTTTTGAGGGTACACTTTTGATCTGGGACACTTGTTGGAGTGGTTTTAAGGGGAAACGGCCATTTTGAAGGTCCCAGGAACAAAAAGGAGAAACAAAAGCAAACAAACGCAAGAAAGGTAGCCTGTTTTTGGTGTTCAAGGCTGCATAACGTGTTGCACGGGCTAACAAAGGCGACCTGGCTCCGACCACCAGACTCTCGCTGTCGCATAGCAGACTACTGCAAGCCCCTGGCCGTTGATGAGGTAATTCTTTTTGGACACCACACGGCCTCGCGCAGAACGATGGTGGGATTGCCACCTTGACTAGAGTCTAAGTGGGGCTGATTCCTTTCCATCATTCTTTCCCAAGGCCATCCCCTCTATTTTTGTTGAGGTCTGGCAAGGAGCGCCAGAGGTTTGGAAAGCTGGGCCGAGAGCCCCCTGCTTCAGAACCCCGGTCAGTTGCGGGACCCTCTTGAATGACTTGAGGTGCTGGGCGCACTTCGGAACGCTGGTGCCAGCTTGCGCCCAAGTGGATACCCCAAACATATGGTTTCCATGGGAGAAAGGAGGCGCGCACCGATTTCTTGGCGCTTGATGTTCAAGGAAATCCCCCTCTGAATAGAAGAAGCGAAGCGACCCCAGTGGGGATCGGTCTGGGCTTAGGAGATGTCCTCTCAGTCCGGCGCCCAAAATCACCGCCGCCGACGACGCATCTGAGGCAAAGGCCGTGAGGGGGTTCGGGAAACGTCCGGCTCCCCGGTTGCAATTGGCGCAGCTTCCCGACTTGAATCCTCCCGAATGGGACCCCGGAGCAAACTCTTGGCTGGCTCATCAACAGATTGCCCCGCATCCCCAATTCCCCCCCTTCTTTGTAGAGGAATGCGTTCATTAATGTTGAACATTATTCATCCGGCCTGGATTCATCCTGGGTTACATTGATGGCCCAGTCGAATTGCCTCCGTCCCCAGCTTCCTGAACATCCAATCGCCTGTGGTCGAATCGCACATCGCCATCTCACATGTTCCATGCAAACAATATGTAATCAAAATATGGCGACAGGCCTTCTCCCACTACTACTACTACTACTACTACTACTACTACTACTACTACTACTACTACTACTACTACCACTACTACTACTACTACTACTACTACTACTACTACTACTACTACTACTACTACTACTACTACTACTACTCTACTTCTACTTCTACTTCTACTTCTACTTCTACTTCTACTTCTACTTCTACTTCTACTACCACCACCACAACTACTACTAGTACTACTGCTGCTGCTGCTACTGCTACTGCTACTGCTACTACTACTTGGGAGCTTTCACGCACTGCAGACTGTTCAGACACTTCACACCGTTTAGACAGTTGACACCTTACGGATGCTTGAAACATTTCAGACGTTTCAGACGTGTCAAATATTCTTTTCAGATGTTCAGGCGCTTCAAATATGTCAAATTAATTGACTATGTCATACGTTTCAGACTTGCTTGACTTACTAGATTGACTCTTCGACCTTGAGCGGCATGTCTCAAATGTCTGAAATGTCTGAAAGGTCTAAACATATTGGGCATATATATATATATATATATTTAACTATGCATATGGTACCCCCTCCCAAAACCCAGGTTGTCACTCGGGAAATCAAGTACTGGAAAACAACACAAAGAAACTGCACAACCCTGAAGTGTGTGAATATATATATATATATATGTATATACATACATACATATATATATATATATACACATACAGACGCATATATATATATACACACCACCAAAAGTGGTACATGTGTGTTGCCCTAAGCCTCTTGGGCCCTCAAACAGGCCCCTTTTTGAGGTCCCAAACCTTCCCTGCATTCGAAGATGCTTAGAGCTCTAGGGGTACCTCCCCCATTCTTTCCAGGGATCCGAATCTTTCTAGCAAGCCACCAAAAACCCTGCAAAAATGGCTGGTTTTTGAAAAGAACGATGGCTGAAAAGAATGGGGAATCAGCCCCTAGCGGAAAACATATTCCCCACATGGCTCGCCGATCCGCCTTGCGGACTCATCTTCTTGCCCACCTGGTACATCTCCAGGCACCTGGCATAAACCAGAAACTCCCGGTGGCCATGGGTCAAAAGCCAAATTGTACCCCCAGTGAATATCCCATTCCAACCACTATAGACTAAAATGGGTGGTGCACCTACCCCAAAAAGCTACCATTTGTGTTGATCCACAGCCAGTTGAAATGCATGGAATCCGAGTTGAATACTGGTTGACATGGGATAAACCACCCAACTGGTGCAGTTTTCGGATCTTGGCCCAAAAGTCACATTTCAATCTGCAGGGGACTAACACATGCAGGCTCGGCTGCTTGTAGTGCAATTCCGCCAGTTCCAGCCTCACACAACAATCCTGCTGAACAAATCATGGCTCGTTTACTCCCTGGGACTACACACTGAGAAGCCCCACATCGCAAGAGTTTATCATAAAATATTATTCTGGGGGAAAAACATGTTGGGTGTCATCCCGGGGTGAAGTCGCAAAACAACCTTAAACAATGCACACCGCTAAGCTGCCGGCTGAGACATTTCGAAGTCCTGGTTTCAGGAAGGCATCCATGCACAGAGATTTCTGAATACGCTGCCGTTCCAAAATGGAAGAACAAGTGCCATCTTGACACTAAGAGCACTGATGAGCACTGCATGAATCTCTTGAGAGGTCGGAGGGGGTCTCGTTTTGCGTCCCACACATACAGTACCAGATTTCCCAACCGAGTCTGAAGTAAGGCACATGGTTCTTTGCATTGTCCGCCCTGAAACGAACAAAGCCGAACATTGCAAAATGCTTTGAAGTGTGGGAAAATGATTTGTCATCACACTTAGAGGCAAATTGGAGCGGAGGTTCGTTTCCAGCAAGGTTTCCAAGTGTCTGTCTGCCACTATAACCCCAAAAGACAAAATACATGGACTGAGCTACGAGTGGCGAAGCAAACAACACACGCGCATCGAGTTTCGATTTCAACCAACAGACTGCGGAAAAGGGCCGCCAGACCGGGTGGATTCTAGGACGCGTTTTTCCGAAGCATAGGGCCGACAATACTTCAGCTTCCGTATGATTCGTAGATATAGTGGTTTGGACTAGTGGTCTGGAGGTCAAGGGGGTGGTTTCCCAACAACCATAATCATAAAACAAAGACCGGACATCTGGTGACGATCCAGCGAACGGAAGAACCTCGGCTCTTCACTCCCGGAAAAATGCGACCCAGGAGTGTATGGTTTAGTTGGTGTGTGTGTGTGTGTGTGTGTTTGCCCCCAAACGCGATGAAGCACCCCCGAGCAAAACACGCAGGGTATTCTCCTCTTGAACGAAACACCCAGGGCTGAATCCTGCAGTGCCAAGTGCCAAGGCCTGGATAGATGGACAACATCCAACTGGCACCAGACGATACATGTCTATTAGACATAGATAGGGGCGCATCCATTCCAACTTCAGTTCTTCTATCCCCGGAACCCCCCGGAAACAACCATCATTCATAGAGGAATCTCTTTTTGGGGGGCACACTTTTGGGCGAGCCCTGCAAATTGTCAGAGAAAGATATGTTGGAAAACTAGTAGAGTTTCCCTGGAACATGGATGGCATAAAACCAAACCAGTGGAAACCCATCCATTTCTCCCAAAACCGATGAAAAGGACACTTGTCTGCAAATGCTACAATGTCAAAAGCTGCCAGGATCGCCAAGTTTCTTTTTTTGTCCAGACACTTTACCCTGAAAACCAGTCACAGTGGCTGGGAAAAACGAAAAAGCGACATCTGGCGATCTAGGTGAAGAATTGGATCAAGCACAGGACCTTCATCTTCCATTTGATTAAGACCATTTGATTAAGACCCCTGGAACACAAAATATTTCCAGTGATACATCCCTTTCAAAACCAACAAGGGGAAAATCACGCATATTCATTTTGGCAACTGGAGGTCATGGCGCTTTCCCTCGCTACCCCAGCCCAGCCAGCAGACCTCTCGGGGGCGGGTCCTTGGCTTTGGGCTCTGAGGGCTTCTGGCGTTTCGAGCTCGGCTGCTGCTCCAGGAAGTGGACCGCCGGGTCCAGCACGTGGGAGCTGCCGTCGAAGACGTACCACTGAACATCGGGTCCTGGGGAAAAAGAATCGAGCCATGGGAGGATCTCACCTTGGTCCGGCTGGGAACTTGTTTGAAGTGTAGTGTTTAACTTTGGCACCCAGAGTTTCCCTTCGGGTGGAAAGCGGAAAGCCTCGGGTCTGGATGCCAAATGTGGCTTGGTCCTCTGGGAACTCTTTAGTGGACGACAGCACCGGGCTTTACAACCAAAACAACTCAATGTTTAAAGTCATTTACCCCGCCCTCCGAACTCCTGTATCGCCATCGAAGATGTGAGCCACAGCCAAAAGCTGGGCTGGGACTGTCCCTTTCCTTCGCTTTCCCAAATCGGTTTTGAATACACATGTTTGCTTGGCAAGCTGTCTATTGGCTCGTGGCCACGTACCCAAGGTGCTTTCTGCATAAATGGCTTGATACGAAAAGGGTTACCGGACACAAACAGTGTCCTTCCAGGAGATCCCGCACGGATGGAAGAAAACGGGGCTTCTTGGGTTCCGTGTTCAAAGCATATCTCAGGACACCGTTCCCCCCCAAAAGAACCTGGCAGGCCTAGGTGTTCTGTTGGAAGACTAGATGGCACCCTAAGCATTAGCAAGGACCCTCCCTTGCAAGGGTTCGGGCCTCCATTGGAAGGTCTGGGACCACAAAAAAGGGCATTTTTTGAGCGCCCGAAATGCTTGGCTAAGGGCCCCACTGAACATGGCCCCACATTAAAACCAGATCGATATCTACCTAGCTTCAACCCACCTTATCTATAGTCAGGGACAAAACTGACGCCAGGCACTAGTTGATGATTTATCAACCAGTATTCAACTCGGTCCATCCCAACTGGTGCCAAGCGGGTCCAGCGCGCAGCCACTAAATACCAAGCGAAAAATACCCTCATAGTAGGGGTTGAACACAATCATGTCTTCCAAAATGTCCCTTTCTGGTTTGCGAGGGGGGGGCGAGAGCAATATAGCATATGGCATAAAACAGGGGTACTTGAAAAATGCTTAGCTTCCCTTTCTCCAACCTTTGAAACCACCCAGCAAAGGTTATCAAGCCTCAGACAAAGTCCTGTATTGTTCCCCGCCCTTCCCGTTTTCCCTGTGGAGTGGCTCAATGCTCGGTTTGGGGGTGGACCTTCTGACGCTCCCATCCTGCAGGCGGAAGGTGGCCCAAGGTATCCACCGGCGCGTAAGCGATCACCGGCGCAGTGTCGTCAAAGCGCTCACAGATCTTCCACCTGTTTGTTTTTTGTCTTCTTCTTTTTC